AGGACGATTATCATTGTAACGGCAAAAACTCCAGTTTTTTGTATGGTGGTGCATATAATGAAAACTGCAATACGAATAGTGGACAGAGGAGCGAAGACATTTTGACGCTTAGGCCTCGAAATGCGCGAACGCTTGCAAGCAAATAGGTGGAATGTGTGTGAATGTGTATGAAGGCGAAAACGTGTTTGTGCTTGCGCGTGTCGGAAACTTTGATTATCGGACGGGAAAGTGGCATGCGCGTCTGTGTCTGAGCGCCCGTTCTCCTACACAGAGCCAAACACACCAGCAGACCCGAAGTTTACCTTTTACTACCGTCGGACGCTTCCGATTCTCGTTATTTTATAAACCGCCCTTATCTATCCTGTACTGGACTGGTTCCAGCATACCACAATTTTGGCAACATTTTATGGCAAAGTGGATAATATTGGATCTAGGCTTGTCCCCGAACCCTTTTGATGAACCACTAAGGAATAGAGCCGAAATATAAAATGAAACTATAAAATGTCGATAGTGCAGCAGTTACATTTGAAAATTCATGAGTGACAAAAACTTTGCAATGTAAATTGTCATGAGAAGGGATTGATTCCAAGGGTAATGGATGCAAAAAGCAATTGAACTGAAAGTGAGGGTAGGCACTAGGAGGACCGAAACCGAATACTTAACAAAATTGCATTACCATTTGCTTGCCAATTCACAGAAAGGAGACATTGTATTAGTCAGTGGCTGGAAAAACTCCAAGTGGTATTTAATTAGCTACTTCTTTACATGGACCTATCGTGTACAAAAGGATTTTTAGTGTAATAATCCCTTAGTTTTGCGTTGACTAGTTTAAACTCCTCCATAAACTAACATTAAAATTTTTCTCTGTGAATTGCGGTCCAAATAATAATGGTAACAATAACAGCAACAGAAGCTGTTGGCCAAAAATCTGTAACCAAATCAAAGGAATACATTCATGACTGCCCCCAACTAAAACGGATCAAGCGTTTGAAAGAGCACTCAAAAAGTTTAAGCCGTGTAATTGATATTTTGATTTAACTTCATTTTCAAGGCGTGATAAGCTTTACAAAAATTAAATGATCATATAATTACTGGCCCTTCATTACATGTGGTTGTCGGTTTCACCGTAGGGAGGCAGTACATAAAACTTTCGATAATACCAAAGTTGAGCTTTGCTAGTTGAGATTCTTACGTAGTTACACTTTGTACTTGTGAATGGCACAGATTAACATCTCTGACTTTTCAACGAACTCCTGCTTCCGTAACTGAGCCTACACTATATACATGCCAGTGTTGTCGAACTGGTCAGCCGACTGTGGCATTTAGCATCGACCCTAGAAGCACCCTATCTACTAACTTCTGCGGGGAGTGAAAAAATGACCACCGGTCGTACCGAAGTAGCAACATCAGTAGCTGCAGGCAAAGTCTATTAGTTTGTATTTTTATGGCAATATTGATGGAGACTTTTTAAGCCACTTCTGCTCTCGCCCTCTATCGTCTACCCTTTTACTTACACTAGCCTGCCTCTCTTCTATTACGCAGGCTGGTGAGCCATCACACATTAAAACTACACTATTATTGCTTCTTTTAACTGTTCCTTATGAATGACAGTGCATCCGTAGAATGTCTCAGTTGTAAAAACGCTAACGTTATCCTTTGGTTTTCTATATAATTTGCCACTTACGTCAAAGTGCTTTTAGCAATTATTAATCCATCCAGTATCCATTCAGGTGTTTGATTAATATTTCCTTTCATATTATTTTTTAAAAACGTCTAAATCAATTTTTAGACAAAAATGATTAAGTTATGACTGCTTGTATGACAGAATAATGCTTGTTTTGTGTATTAAATGTATAGATTGTGCATTTGAGAATATAATATTAATCCTGAGTTGATTTTGTATAAGCTACGAGTGAAAATTAAATTTCAGCATATGAACAAACTAATAGTTTCGTTGATTAAAGTTGATTAATTTTGGAAAGATCTTACTTAAATTGAATCTGATGGGAACCTTTTATGCTTGCTTTTCGATTAGAATTAGTTAATTCATTGCAAGGAATTAGAAGTATGTGCTTATTCAAGGGAATTCGAACAGGCTCTTACAATAGATTTGTCACCTCACGAGGCGGCTTTTAAGCTTTTAAACATTTTGATGGTTTATTGACCTTCAAAAGTGATTTGAGAAAATCTTAATCGCATTATAATAATACGGTACTGCGGCATCTCCATTCAATGAATGCGATTGAGGATGGATATGCTCATGTTCTACTAACAAATTTTCTTACCATGCAACAGTCTGCACCAGTGTTAGGGGTAGGCAGGAGACCCTCCCAATGACAAGAGCTCGGTCAGACATCACACATTATTCACACGCATACGAGCATATCAGTGTTTATGAAGTTCGACCGGACGATTTCGTGGAGAAAGAGGAGGAGGTGGAGGTGAAGGAGAGAGAGGCAGGAGTGGTAAAGGTGAACAAAAGAAGCCGCGTAAAAGCAGCTGCTAGTCCGCGAGATTTGACGTTCGCATGCACCTACATATAACGCGCGTGCTAGCAGCCACAAGCACGTGCGTGCGTGGTATCCTGCTTTTTGTTTCTGCAACCACCCCAACTGGCTACCCACCGTCTCGTGGTTCGCCACCACCACCACCCCCTCTTCTACTACTTTGAAGCTTCCGCCGATTGTCAACCTTATGCACCACAACGGCAAAATCGACCACTTAGGTGGTTGCCTTTAAGTTAATAAAGCAACTAAAAACGCTATTTTAGAAACGTTGGTTCCAACAATTTTTCCGAATCATGTGATAGTTGCTTTGTTTGCGGAATATGAGTTCGCCTATACCCACTCATTTTGTAAAGTCTTCTACCAAATTGGTGCATTTTACTTGGTTTAGGAGAGTGGAAACCTTGTCTTATTGTCAATCGGTAATTGAAAGTGGTTATAGAGAAATCCTGGAAAGCGAGATCAGTGTTAGTCTGTTAATTTGATTTCAATCATTGTATTTGTAACGTAGATTCATAACTGTTGCATACTCTTTGTTTGCAGTAGGTTAACAGTTTAATACTTGACACATTAATGATATTCTATTAATAATGTGAAAAACTACCATTTTTTAGCCTAAAAAGAATGATCAAAGTATATACAAAACTTCATACCACGAAAATGTGTCAGTTATCATGGGCACGAAAATTCCACCACCTTACCACCAACGAGAGAAAATAAAAAATAGTCAAATGTTTAGGCTGCGTCTCATCCTGCCTTTACGGTCTCTTTGTGTGCATAGACAAACACACTGCCACGCCAGGTTTCGACGTCAACGAGCAGACGGATAGACACGCATGCGCGTTATGACTAGACGGTGTTTGAATATAGCAAACTCGAGAAAAGTGCCTGTTCGGTAGGGCTGACTAATTCAGCGGCACAAATAAAAACACAATCTTATTATGGTAAATCCGTTGGTTTTACCTTTTAGGCCTTGTAGCTCAAGGTCCTGTTAAAACGGGCAAGCAAGTGAATTTCAGCTCCCAAAAACCCAGTGAGGGCATCAAAAATCGGAAGCGATTACTCGAAGACGATCCATTGCCTTCGAAGAAAGCCTTTTCTGATTCCGATAAGCTTGAAAATACCTCGGAGTCAGTGGGTTCATTGAATCAAGGTAGTGAAGACAGTGACGCTGCAAGTGGTATGGGTGGAGATGACTTGAGTTTGGATATGGTAGGCTCCTCCTGCGATCCAAAACGAACTCGCACTGCTTACACTAGACAGCAGATACTAGAACTTGAAAAGGAATTTCATTATAACAAGTACCTAACAAGGAAACGGCGTCTCGAAATCGCGCACACACTCAGCCTTTCTGAAAGACAGATAAAGATATGGTTTCAGAATCGCCGAATGAAATGGAAGAAGGAGCATTGTTTGCCAGGAAATAAACAGCGTCTTTCAGAGGCACCGATTCTCACTGTTCCAAATCAAAACTTTCCCATGCGCAACCAGGAGTCGATGCAATTCTGCTCAAATCGTCATGGTTTTGACGTGAGTGCCGTCGGTGGAGATCCGATGATGTCAACCCGGTTTTTACCCTTTTTCCCAAAGTATCTCTCTCCAACCACTGGTGCAGCCAAGGCTACGGGATTGACGCCACTTTCAGCACCACCAAAAAGATTTTACGATGACGAAAGTGGATTAGACTCAGTGTGGTTCAACGACAGATGCTATCAGCAGTCCCCGCCCCAACTTAGTTTTAACTATCCAACAACTTCTACGCAATCAACATCTCCTCCACCTTCGCTACCACCTCTCAATAACCCCTTTTCTAATACCCTTGCTGTAGCCCCAACGGATTTTTACTCGGGCCTCCTAACGAGTGGTTGGTCGTCAAAAGTTCCTTCTCAGCAGCAACAGCACCAGCAAATGCGGCACATCGTCAATCCATCCTATGACGGGGATTATGTAGACAACACTAATAACAATAGCAGCTCACCATTTTTCATTGCGACTCATAAGCATCCCCACTTCCCTTCAGATGATGAATTAGCAATATCAGGCAGCAATGCAGGAAATGAAATCGGACTTCCTAATATGGTGGGAGGGGGTATGAAAAAGGAGTGTCGAATTGAAAAATAGTGGAACATCCCTGCACATATGTCAAAACCAACGTGCCGAATCTTGTCCTTTTGCCAATATCCCCTTTCTTTCCGACCCAAAGTAAATGCACTTCCGCATACCCCCACGTTCGCACATGAAACTGTGGCTTCAGTCAATGGGAAGTAGGTCATGCCGATGTATGTAGAAAAAAGCGCCTTCACTACCTCAAAACTAATGGGTGTATATTTCAATGGTCTGTTTAAGTACATACCTATTGTATTGAAATACATTGCACAAGTTCTATGCAACTTTTTATCTGGATATTTGGCGTTCTGAGACAAAATAAAACATATTTTAAACACGGTCGTATTCATAAAAATACGAATTCAAGCACGATACTTAAATAAGTAAAGGCTGCGAGGGCTGCGAACCTAGCTTAGTAGTGTTAGTTATTTACTTAGCTAAATCCATAAATAGACTGACTTTGTGATTATTTATACCGGCATACCCAACCGAATGACACCAATGCCCACAAGATTAAGCAAATAGTGACCTGGATTTCCTGAAAACACTTTGACTGAACTGGAATATGACTTGGACATGAATTTGAAACTAATGTTTCTCGCAATGCTAATAAATAATAGGAGCATTTCACTCGATTTAAAAATTGGGAAATTATTTGTCATTGAGAACGGGCAGATACTGGTTTTCGAATTAGTCTCAGACATTTCATTGACCCATTATCTATAATAGTTAAACGTAGAATTCATCATTTTAAGCTTGACTACTATGAAAAAAGTCCCAAAGCATCAGAATTTGCAATGAAAATCTTAACGTCCGAAATTATGCCTACTTCCTGAGAAAACATCGGATTAGTTCAAAATCATAGTAGTAAATACCATTTTTTAAATCTTTTTTGTCCTTTAATCGAACAGACGAACTTAATTTCAATGGTCTCCTAGTAGATAAGTTTGTTTAAATAAATCCTAGTCGTTGGGTCGTGTAAAGTTGTTACATGATGGGAAAAGGCCAATGAAACAGTGGAAAAGCCGTAGCGCATTCTACTGAAATTGAACTAGTAGTGCACATTTATTTAAACGACCCTTGTTATAAATGCTCAAGTTTTGAATTTTGTCACTTTCTATTATATTAAAACCGATTAGACGCCGATGGCGACCCCTGATATTCCTACTTAGAATGAGTTTGCCAACAATTATTATTATTTAATAAAAAGTGACAATACGTTCAGGATTCCTGTAGTGACTCAGACTTGCTGACTGCAGGTAGATGCTCGGAAAATTCACTAATAGCCTCCCTTGCTTGATTTTTAAAAGTCAGTTTTATAGATAGCTCTGTCGAGTCCCTTATTTATTAATGGTTCATAAATGAGGGTTACCAATTATTATCCGATAACCAAGAAAGGTGGGCAGTCCCTTTTATGTACGTTCTCTAATTTCAGTCAATTCAAATGTTGTCCTTACGCAATATATTGCTGTCATCAACTCAAATTGTTTATCAGAATTATATTAGGGATTGTATGCCAAAACTCTTCACCTTAACCCATAATAACCGGTTAGGAAGCATAAACTAGTGAAAAAATTGATGTTCCTCAACTTTTTTAATTGATTTTTTTTGTCAATAAAACTAGGATACGTAAAAACTTCATGCACTTGTTATTTCTTGATCCTAACGATTTATATACGTAGAGTATACTCGAACCGTCTGCTCACCCAAATTAAGTTAATTCATTCCTTACCATAATGTACTACAAGTGAATTCAAATTATACCGTCAATGAATAACTTTTCATGTAATTTTAAGAGTGCTTTGCATACTGACAACCATAGGGATTGGTTTCATTTACAGTGTAGGCTAAATAATAATAATAAGTGTACCACTTTATAACTTCATATTATACATATAAAACATTGAGTACCCCGTAACACTCCCATCACATGACTAGTATAGGCAGCATACAGAACTGATTAAAACGAGTCATTCATAGAACATTGAGGAATTTGATAATGACATCCGGAATAAAGAAGGTACTTGAAGCAGCAATATGCGCAGTCAATCCATTGGAACTGAATCAGCAGAATCGGAGGTACAAGCTGGAGCAAAGTACTCTTATTTGCGGAAACGCGTTCGGGTGCAAACATAGGCATCTGTGCTTTGATAAGTTGAAGCCATGTAAAGTGCCGCAACAAAAGTCATTTATCACACCCGCGACAAGTGGAGACGAGACGCACTTGCCTAGACTCCAGCTGAAGAAGAGGCCAGCCGTGTACAGAATGGGTAAGAATCCACACGCGTGCTTATAGTTTGTTTGAATGTTTGCGAGATGAGGTTCCAAAAAAATGCAGATCAAACTATAATTATATACCCACAGGACCATCGAGATACTTCTAGCTTTTCATTCACAACTGCTGGCTTTATGCGTTAATCTTGGGTTGAGTATTTGAATCTTTGAACTTCAACGTTTAAGAATGAGACCGTTGTGCAAATAGCGGAGTCTATTTGAGTCTTAAGTCGAATTAAACGGCATTCATGGGACTTCTTGACAAACAACTTATAATGCATCCAATTTTTATTTTACAGTACGCAATACCAGTGTTTAATACACGCTTTAGTTTCAAGAAAATCTGTTTGTTTTGGTAAAAACAGTAATAATCTTCATTCCTTAGATGTTCTCCATTTGCTTCCAGCTGCTCTTACCAAAATTCCTGCATTAAATCCTTAGCGACTTCTGCTCAAATAACGCTTAATGTGGAACATGTTGCATACTTAAATGAGTACTTTTGAAAAAGTAAAGCCTAGTAGCATGTTTTTTCGTACCTTGAAACACAACTGAATGGGGTGGGCGCGTGCTGAATTACTTTATCTCAATTTACCAAATGTAAATTTCATTTTAATTATCTACCTCAATTAACCGATAAAATCTGTTTTTGATAACAACGAAGTCCGATCAACAGTCACGAACAAAGTGAAAACTACCGTATAATTTTACAAAGAGGAAATAGTGGGCCTGAACTTACCTATAAAATTTGGACTATAAAATAGGTCTTAGAGCATACGTGGTGGGATACAAGAGAATTTGTTCGCTTGAAAATTGTTAATAAATTCACCAGTACCTACAATCAAATTGTAAATCCTGTGCTGTCTGTTGAAGTAGTGGAGTAGTATGTAGGACTTGCGAAATTTGGTGAGGGTTTTTGAGAAATTAAGATGCGGAATACGTAAACCTTAGAAAGAAAGTAAAAGGTACAAAATGAGATAATTTCGTTGCAATTAAGGGAACTGTGAGCATTAGACTTCAAGACTATCATGATGATTTCCTTATTTTGTTACAATAAAGAATTTAAATATGTATACAGTGTTGAAGGCAATTAGATATAATACTGAATCAATACCCCTATCAAACACATATTTGACAGCTTTATTTTTTTAAATGTAACTCCCAAGATTACAAATAGACTCTTCCACCACTCTCTAACCTAATCTTCCCCACTTAAATATTACTGATAAGTGTTTCTCGCCTTCAAAGGCTTCCTTAAATTTCTCTTAAAGCAAATGTTAATATGATTTGCAATTAATTTCATCATATATATTGTGATCGAAAGCGGCTGTATAATGAAAAACAGCGCTGTTTTTTCTTCCAAGACCATTAAAAATATCACATACTTCTAACACCAATCACAAACGACTTTTTTCGTGCGAATTAATGTGTTTCCTGCCTATTTGACTATTTGATTTGTCTGTCGTGATATTGGATGTTGCAAATTCCTACCCACTATCTAGACTGTTTACACCTAGATGGATATGATAGAGGCTGCAACTCGAATTCGTATGCCTTTAGGTAGTACATTTGTTTCGGAATTTCTCATTTCATTTTCATTGACCAAAGTTCCCACTTCACAAACTTACTTTTTAGAGGTGTCCCAGCGTGTCCTCAAGTGATTTCGCAATGTTTTCGGAAGAATATTGCAATCACTATATCTAACTCGATAAGATAAAAATTTCCGTGAAACAGCAGTGCTGTAAAAGAAATAAGGATTTTATGAATAAAATTAAACTGCACTTGCTACAATTTGATCGCAGAAGAAATACACGGAAGGACTACCTAGAAGGTACGCTCAAGTGTTAATTCATTCTGTGCTAACCTAATATTACTTTTTCGGAAATAGAACCTAGAAACTTAGTTTCGTAACGCGTCAAAAATGATAAATTACAAGCAATCTGACGAATTAAAATGCTGATTTTGCAAAGCCATAAGTAGTCAAGTAATGGGGGTACTTCGACTGGCATGTTCATTCACGCCTCATCATTTTTCATAGGGTTGCTTATGGAATTTTGGCCACTTCGTCTTTCTGATTAAATGCTTTTTGAAATGTCCCCTACAATTAAAAATGGGTGGTTTACTCAGAAAAACTTCGTTTTAAGATCCACTACATTACATTGCCCTCAATGCTAACTTGTACATGGATACTTAGATTAAAAATGGACATTGAGACTACCTTTGTAATTACCAACCAGTTTTGTTTTGTAATAAGCTAGATTCGACTTTACCCCTTTTTTTCCTCCAGTATTGTTGGCGAACATTCCGCATTTACTGCATACTAGATTTCACTCGTCTAGTTTAGGTAATTATATTTTAAACTAAAGATTTATTCTTAGCACACAAATGAATGGAAAAACAATAAATGGATAGTTGGTGTTTGATGAATATATGTTCGCAGAATACCAGACAGGAAGCTCTTCGAATACTTGTTTTAGCTCATACATCCTATTTAATGTTCGAGAATTGGAAAATTTTTGAATCAAAGTGATAAACTATAGGATCATGATTCGTACTTGGTGTCATAAATTTAAACACACTTGGCTGTTTATAATTTGAAATGGAAATAACCGCAACCGCAATATCGGCCATTAGAAACTAACGTAGTACAATCTTTAATTTTCGAGACAAGTGGTTGCTTACAGGGTTAGGTTTGTGTACCAGTCCTTCCTATCGAAGTCACCAACTGAAGGGGATTACATATAGTCTTTACGACTTTTAATTAACTCATGGAGAAAGCACGCGATTTGTGCAAGATTCAATAGGTTTTAAGCAAGACTTAACATGCACATAATAGCAGCTGGAAACCCTACCGCTTTAACCATCAAAGATCCGGTAACGTAGTTGGGTAAATAATGCGTTGCGGATTTTCTAAAAAGTGGAATTGTGGGAAACTGTACGAAAGGTACCCGCAGCTATCGTGTTAGGTAAACAAACGTCTTCAATATAAAACACTTTTGAGTGAATGAATTAAAGTACCAATTAATTAAACTCTCAGAAAGTCATCCATTCACATAAACATTGCATTGATAAGCTTAGTCCTTGGTAGATCTCTCCTAATCACCGTCATGGATGAGCATCAAGTAGGGCAATAAGGAAAGAAAGAGTAAAACGTGATAAAGTTTATTGATGGGCCGCCCCCAGCCTTGCCTTGGAGGTAAGTGCGCTCGCAACTGTTAAAAACATCAAAGAGGACAGCCGCGCGAGTCTCCTGGAATGTGTGCAGTAACATGACTGAAAGAGAGGAAGTAAAAAGCAAGCGGCGAACGATGGGGTGGAGGTGAGGCGAGGCGAGACGGAAAGAGAGAGAGAGTGGTGGAGGAGGGCTAAGAGGAGAGGCAGTTTATGCACCTCTTCACTTGCTTTCTTCATTCTCCTCTTCCGCCTCAATGTCTGCCTCCACCGCCGCTCTCACCACCCTTCTCTTCTTCAGCATTGCATTTTCCGCCTCTTCGGAAGGTGGTGGGGAAGGAAGAGCAACGCAAGTGCGCACCGTACCCACGTGCGTGTTCAGTCTTTTAAACGTGGTCTTTTCATCTTTCTACGCACAGGGTACGCGCACAAATCGAATCTATTTAGATCCATGCACCAACTATGTATGTTAAAAGGGCGCGCAATTAACGTGTGCATACATGTATCCCTGTGTATAACGACTTTTCGCGGCCCAAGTTTTTGCATCCACATTCTGCTGCTGCTGTCTGGTGTTTTTCTATTCTCGTAGGGCAGACGCAGAGGCGAATGGAAACGACATGCGCTGCGTGATGCTTCTTCTTCACTGTTGCTTCGGCTACAATTGCTGACACCGTGTGCCTTTTTGAGTCCCAATGAGGGTGCGATAGAACTATTTGACTTTTTCTAAGTCCGCGCGAACGAGCACTGCGTATATCCTTATGAAAACAGACTTCTTATTTCTGTCTCACTGTTAAATGCTTATGAATTGAATTTATCGAATCAAGTCAGCACCTGCCAGTGAGTGCTTGAAAAGTAGGAATTTTGACAAATGGCTATTCTATCAGCTGCAACTTTTTAGTTAAAGCACGTGTTGAAAATAAAGTAATTTTCCCGAACAGCAAGTCGCCTCGTGGTTTTAACACTTTAAAATGTGATGCAATCCACAATATGAATTTCTTTTTGGACCATTTATTTAGGCAGCATCTTCTCGAAAGCCGAAGTCGTTGGCTATTTTTGGCCTGCACCCCTTTATATACTACTCTAATCTAGGCATTGCTTTTAGGGAGCTACTGTAATGTAGAATCAATAGGACAGTTTAGGTTCTTTCACTTTAAAAATTATTATACACCCAGTTAAGTAATTTATTTAGGCATTTAGCAATATGCCAAATGAGCGTTAAACACAGCTAATATTTAAATTCTAACAATTTACAATTTACTCTCGCTTGTTTCAGATCACGCAAGTACCCCAATAAATAGAATCATTGAATATTTGTAATTTTATTGTAATAAACTTCATCGCAAACAATCTTAGGCCCGAAAAGTTGCCAAGATTTGCTTCCTTATTGATATAGCCTGCTACTTAAGACGATTTCATCTACACATTACCCATTATGGAACTGCCCTACACCATATCCATTCAAACAACTATTGCAGTGTAACTTCGAATCCATAATTAACATGCTTAACTAACAATTTAAGAACAAGGCTTTTTAACTCCTGGTTTCTAATTCCCTTATAGGGAATTATATTGAGATCGCCCATACCCGAAGGATCATTCCCTTTTACACCCTTGGACCTTACCTCAGAGATTATACCAACAGCTGGTAGTAATACAGTTATTAAAATTAGTAGAGGACGGTCTTCAACTTCTGATGGGACGCATTCAATGGCAACTAAACACAGTCTTCATTTACACAGGTTCCTGCAATTTAATCCTCCTCTTGTTGGGATCCTCATTAACAGAGTACATGCATTATTTTATATACATTCCTTTCAATTGTCCCACAGGGTGAAATTTGCTTGATATGACTCACTAGAAAGGTTCGCTTCTTATTAATTTGAAAACGCTTAAGGAGATGTCATCAATAAACTTTTTAAATTATTGATTGAATTCGTTAGAACTTGATTTATGTCACAGTTCTCTTAGTCAAGTTTGATTCCTACTTTATTTTATGATAAAAAGGGGAAAGCATGGATATAGATTTTTCCAATATGCCAGTTATACTTCGCAAATTTACTCCATGGAAATACTCGTAACTTAATGGTAAAAAAATCAACTTCAAAAGACCTACTTTGCATAGTAGGCAAGCCGGATGCAAGGGAGGGGAGAACTCCATTTTAAAGGTCACTAACCCTTTAGGTGTGCGCACCATGCGCCCAAGCGCGCTCGCATCCAGTAGGTGCCAACGAGGTCAGCGTCTGTTTGCAAGGGAGGGGGGGAAGCAAGGGTTTGGTTCGCCTGCCGCCACTGAGGGGCTGCTGGGAGGACGTCAGTAGAGGGAGGCGGGAAGGCGAGGGGAGGAAGTTTCTGCATGAAAGGTGCAGAGGCTCTGCAAAATGCCAGCGCGTTTACTGTGCATGCACTCACACACAAGCATAAAACTTGAAAGAGATGGAAAATACAAAAAGGTAGGCGGTATTTGGTTTGTGTTGGTGAATACTTTAGTGGATTCAGCCCAAGTGCTGGATGCAAAATACCTTCTTAGTGCAAAATTCGACTACTGTTAGCAGTCAAATAATGGGGTATTACTATTGCTGAATTTGACAATTTTGATTTTGATATTATTTTCTAAATGGTCTCACGGTCCTTCAGAATCATCGTGGCATATGCATATGTATAAATTTCTTTAGCGGTCCTGCTAAATGCAACATTTTTTCAATCAGCGGTAAAAATTGTTTTAAAGCATGTAACACAATTTGGGAAAGTGTAAAATCAGATATCTGCAATTAATTTAAAGAAATCTGATTCTTCCTATATTTGAGGAAATATAAATTACATACGGAAGGACTAGATATTTTACCACAGCAAAGGTGTATAAACAAGCCTGAATTTTTGGTTTCCTAGCTAGTAGTTAAGGTATTATTGCCTCGAAACCCATTAAAGTTATTGTATGAGCTGTGCTTGGAATAGTAGGACAGTAAGATGTCACAAGTTACGAATTGAAATTTTGCACTTTAGACTCCCTGTAAAGTTCACGCGTTTGAGTGAAGTAGCAATTCTTGACTAGTTCCCGGTATTTGTTTTCATCTAGCAATAAGGTTTTAACAAGTTATTTTTTGGTACATTAGAAGTTCATGAGATGCGAAGACTGTAGGATCAGTAAACATTAAAGCAATAGTTGTGCATGCATATGATTTAATTAGAATCCAATCACTAGGTTCAACTTTAATAATCCATTGCAAATAACGTCCAAAATTCAATTAATCATCTTATTGCTGCATGGTAGCGATTAATTAAGCTCAAATTTCATTCAAGTACCATGGAAAGCGAAGTTGAAAAGGTTAGATGACACCTGCTTATGAAGGAACAACTTCATCAAGTCTTTCGTTGTTTACGTTATCAAGAGGAGCTATATTATCCAGTGTTCGATTTCTGGATAATTAAATCTGTTGTGAATACGTGAAGGGAACAGTAGTTAGTGGTAATTAGAACCAAATGCAGTTGAAGTCCAAATTTCTATGGACAACAGTACTTCACTCAGTAGTGGATTTTATTGGACCAAGGATTCTATGCTTTAACAGTAACCCCAAAAGCCACAGATTTTCGTTCTCACAGGCACGAACCCCCAAGCCAGGCGGAACCTTTTGACGGAAAATATTTGCAACAGGTCTCATTTGTTGTCAATAAGGTGAACCATTTAAGATAAAGAATACTGTTTTGAATAAATGAGAATGCACAAGGCTCCCTTATATGATTTCTTCATTACCGATAAATTTAGTACTAATTTAATGCTTTTATAACTTTGGTGTTGGCAATACTCATTTGTTAAATTCACCAAATGAACATTTATCTACCCATAATATTATATATTTATCTGGTTTTAAGACTTAAGATTTACACATATTTTGCCAAATGTTCCTATCTACGGTAGGATATTTTGCCTTTTCCTACTTTTGTTTCTATTTTATATCGGACGCATACAATCACGGCGACGCACAGGCCTTCATCACTATCATCCCCATTTCGACTCCGCTGTTAGTTTGCCGCAAATCTGTCCGCATAGCGACTATCAGGGAGAATTTTTATTATGCCATGCATCTGTGAATAGCGGAGCTCATGTCTTTTGCGTGTGCGCCATGGCTGCACTCCGAATAATTAATCCAAGCCCTACACTGAGAGCAGAATAAATGAGCTTGTCTGGTTTTATTAATTTTGATGCTTCAGCAGCGTTTACACACTGCTACACGGTGTTGGCTTTAGCTTGTGTTAATTTAATTTGCTCTTAGTATCGACAATGGTCCAATAACCATTACACTCAAGTTACATTATCACGAAATAAGTCATTTGATTGTAGTAGTACGCATAAGTTGTGACTATCCTGATTGCGAACTTCCTCTTATATGCATCCTGTGAAAGAAATGCTTGACTCCATTGTGCTACAGTCCTTAAACTATGATACCATAAGCATAACCTCTGTTACATTTGGAGAACGTATTATCCTTTCAAGACAGGACCGTGATTTGTTTAAATCTACTGTTTGGCAAAATGGAAAATCAAACCCCTTTGATAGCGCAAAAGTTTTCTCAGAGAGGGAAGTCTTTAAATAGCGTAAAGTATTTAGCAACAACCGCGTGGTAAGGATCTTATAAAGCATACTGTAAGCCTCTCAAGTTAATTATAGTCAGGTCTTAACAGGCTTTTAGTGAGTGGCATTGGGTGAATTAGACTTTTGGATTTGGGGAGTTTTTGTAGGTGGTGACTGGCACTTTATGGAGGACCTCCTCTCTTAACTGTAATTAAAGTCGGCTGCGGCTTAACGGGTGATTATGACTTGCGTTTCTTCGGCTCAGTCAGTTAATTAGCCATCTCGGGCTTTGACAGCCCCTCTTATCGATTGCATGCATCAAACCAGTGCCGTTCGCTTCCACAAAGCGCAAGCTAAGAATCAACACTGGACTGCTGTATCCCCTCCCGGGGATCTTTGTGAGTTCATTGAGCCACATTTAAAAAAATTTGATTTTATTGCGCTTGCATAACTAGGGTCAAAGGAAAGCCAGACCGTTCAAACTTTGCAAAATACTCAAGATTACTTTCAAGAAATCGCTTTGTTTTGGTAGCAGCCTTTTGTGTAACCAGAAACAAATCTGTTTGAGATTATATTCTTTAGGAATATTTATTTCTTATGGTTTACTAGCAGCATTGAATCTTGCTTGTTGGGCACTTCACATCCCGTGGACATTCCATTTTTGGCCAAATTCGTGCAATAAATGTAACTATTAAAATACTGAAAAGTGCATAGATTGTATAACCAGATATTTTAATATTCTTGAGGAATCTTCTGGGTACTTTGGTGATTACTGAAAAGTGTGGATGTAAATTAGAGACTCACCAAGTAAAAAATTGTTTCCGGTTGAACATTTTCCACCCGAATACGTTCTTATACCGTGAAAAAATACTCCGCAATATTGGACCGGATGAGACGTGGCCAGCTCAGAGACGATCTGCGGGATGCATAACAGGGAGTGCTCTGAGGGAATCGCGCGAGTGCCAGTTCCGCTTGCTGCATGTAAAAAGATAACAACCGTCTTTATTCATTGCACATAAGTGCGCCTCACTAGCCAGTAGAGTAATGAGGCGAAACTGAGATAATGGTCAGTCAGTGGGAAACTTGGGCTTCCGGTTTCATTGGCTTTGCCGATCTTAAGGTCTTAAAACTTCTTGCTGCCAAAAAATATTTGAACAAAACTGGAATTTTGTGGTATCGTCTTCAAATCGGTACAAAATCCGTAATTTTCACGCACTCAGCTGTATAGAATACAGTCCATTTGCCTCCTCAATATCACGAATCAAGCTGCTTTTAAAATAACTAACACAAAATAGGATGTATTTCTATACTTTTAAATTAAAGATGCATTTAATGTTTTACATTAAATTGAACTTCATCATGATTCTGTTTATTTAAAACTAACAAATACAAATTACACAAATTTTAAAGTTATCTGATGAACAGTGGAGGAGCGCTGAATACTGCATTGTGCAACGCGCATATCAGCATACTCATTTTATCTTAAATATATGTCAATGTATGCAAACATTCCAATCCATACAACTGCAGCATATTTTGGTAATCCGAGAATTATCAAAGCTTTTGCCAATAATCTTAGCAGATACCAACTTCTGAGAACACAATACATCAGTATAAATTTCATCAAAAAATAGCCATAAAGGAAATGATTAATTTAACGCTTTTGCGCACATTTACAGCCAATTTGTGAACATATATTTCGACATCTAAAAGAAGTAAATGTATTTGGACTTAGCTCGAAAAGCAAGAGGTCGCAAGTCCACTTTATTAGGATTTCACAAAATTTTAGTTATTTACGGTGGTAATACGCGGAATGTAGCACTGGTTAAAGAAGTAAAATTCATAAACTAGTACACTTTGGTGTACGTCTGTAACCTAGAGATGTTTAATCATGTAATCCTCATTCCTTGCAAAATCACACTACGAATAAGGTTAAGATCGAATACGGAAGGAACCTTCTAGAAGTCTATTACTAACATTCGAGATAAAATCATTCAGGGGAGTCGATGACATGTTAGTGAAACTCATTGTTACCTCATTCCTGTTTTGGGGCAAAATTATGATTCCTTTATGAAAACTGCTAAGATGCATACATTTCATTGTGCAATAAATTTGATTTCAAAGAGGACAGCGGGCTACACTTGGTGAAATCTATGACATTTGCAATCTCCTTAATAAGCTCGAAGCTGGAACTTTCACCTCAACGCGTAGATATTAGGAAATGTTGTCAGTTGTGACCTTTTCTATTATTTTTTGCTAAATTATTATCACTAAATACACCGCACACCGTGGATATTTAATATGTCTATGGTTTTTGTATTCCATCGAGAACTCCTTTTAACTGCAAGTTAGCTTGTACAGGAAAACTTTTTAACCTTAAAGGGCCTTATCAACTATCATTCTCTGAAGCCGCTATTGTAACTCATTTTCCATAATAAAATTATAGTCATCCCTAATCACAACACTTATGTCGAAAATATGCGATTTCTAAGTTCCTTTGCCGATGATTCAGATAAAAACAAGACTGCAGGCTAGGGCCCAGTTGAATGGATTCATGTTGATGCAGGCAATTATCTGAGAACTCAAATGTCATTTTGGTAGTTGATCAGACTTCGGCACCACCTCTTGTTATTGAAAGTTAGTCAAAGGCAAGGTTTGGATTAGTAACTTTATTTATTTCTATATAAATAATGGATAATCTACTAATATATTTGGACATAACTAGGTTATTTAAGTTTTGTAATAAATTGATGTTGATTTTTGTGAATGAATTTAAGCTTTTTTAAAC